CCGGGTTGTCTTAGAACAAAACCATGAGGCTTCCTCCGCTCCAGTGAGCCCTCCCTGCCTCACATTCATGCATTTATGATGTCTTGTGTCTTCCTGTCGTCTTCAGATAGGAAACTCTTTAATGGCAGAGGTTCTTTCCTGTTTCCTACGAAAAGATGTATAATATGGTTTCCATTTTTATGGGTAACCAATAAATATTTATGGGCATATGAGGCTTTAAAGTTCCTTTTCATTTAAAAACAATGTAGGAAAATGAAAATCTTGAAGGGAGAGGAAAATAGCCCACTCTCCACTATCCTGACATGCTTTTATTTTGTGCATCTGGCTTCTTCCACACAGCATAATGTCTCTGTGGTCCATCCATGTTGTTTTACGTGCACTCTGACCTTTTCAGCTTATGCCAGGCGCTTCTCCATATCACTTCATGGTCTTCCTCGAGCGGCAGGTGTGTTTTTCCTCTTGAATTGTGGCCTCCAGGAGAGCCAACCCTGCATGTTCACGCCTTCCTGACTCCCCAGCCCCTTGCTCCCTGAGCACTCTCTGCAGTGTCTGCTCATTCAGGCCTGGTCCTCATTGCCTGTCCATCACCTCCTGCGGTGGCGTTATTACTCACCACCCAGCCAGCCGCTGAGGCCAGACCCCTTGCCCGCATCGTCCACACGCCACCGGGCTGTGTGCTCAGTCTCGCTCAGGCCCGTCCCTCCCCAGCATTCTGGCTGCAGTTCTACCTTAGGCGCCATAATTTCTGACCTGGAATATATTGCACTGGTCACCTATGAGTCACCTTGTCTCCAGGCCTGCTTCTCCCCTCTCCCCATGCTGCCAGGACTATCCTTACAATAAACCTCCCATGTGTCCTCTACTGGACGTTTTTTAACAAGCATAAATGACTCCATTTTGGCTTTGGGAAAAAGTCCAAATGCACTAAAGCCACCAAATAAGATTTGACTGCGACCTTCCAGTCCAACTCCATGACGTCTGCACATTCATTTCCCTTTGTTCACACTGCCTGGCCCCTGCCAGGCCCCTGCCAGGGGTTTCTTCAAACCTATTCTGCATGTCTTTGGCACATGTTATCCTCGCTGTCTGCAATGCTCTCTCCTCTTTTCACGAACTTTCTATTTTTTGCCTCTCAAACGCCTTCTCATTACTCATTTTCAAGTCCTACCTAAAATATCTCGCCTTCAATTGAGTTTCACCCAGATCTTTCAAGCAAGTTGATTAATTGTGCCTTCTACTATGCCCTT